GTGGGTGTCGACCAATAATGCATGCGAGCAAAGTTCGGCCGTTACAATAACTGCCATTCCTGATATAATTACCACTACTGCTATACTATTACAAGTACTATTGCTATTAAGTGTTACTATCGTGACTACTTTGCTGTTACTGCTGCTATCTCCACTAATTCTTTCTGCTCATGCAGGTGGTTTGGCAGCACGCATTGTACCAGGATAATAACTGTGCGTTCGCAAGAGCAACCCATGAACCCCCCCAAATCTCAAGCCCTCATCTCTACATAAGATCTGACAGCATCAAGACGCCTCTAATGTGCTCCCTCTTTCACCCCTGAATCTTCACACTAAACCCTATCTACGATAGGAGCCTCAAGTCCCCTCAAAAAGTATTAGAGTTTAGAATATCACCTCCAGGACTACCCGCTCCCTCCCTCCCAGATTCAGAACACTATTTTACCTAATTCAGCCCTATATAGTCCCTAATGAGCTCCTAAAAATCTGGGGATGTGCCTTGGGGGGGGGGGTGTGACATTCGAGTCCGTTACACTAAACATGTACCAACTTTAGGGTCCATCTCCTTCCCCAAATGGGGGCTCCTAGGGAATCTAAGGATGTATCGGGTTAGGCTTTAGGGCTTAGGGTTTTCGGGTTGTGGGGGGGGAAACCCATGAAGGATCCTGTAATGTCAGTTTTGAAAAAATCCACAGAGATTGTTCAGAGTTTAGGGTTTTGTCACAACGTTCACAGATACAGTAGTATGGCAAACTGGGTGTTTTGTTCTAGCAACCGTACAGCACATAGCGCATGGACTGGGTTGCTTCTATTACGTAACCTGAGCTTAAGGAAACCCAGAACTCTAAAGTCTAAACCAAATTCCAGATAGATGTCTTGTAAATAATATGGTTTGCTGGCAATGAACCCTGAACACTAAACCCTAACCTCTAAACTCTAACCCCTAAGCCCTAGCCCCCTAAACCCGACACTCTAAACCCTAAACGGCAACCCAGTAGAGGCCCTCGCGGCGCATCGCGGCGAATGCGTCTGCTGAAGCCTGCTCGGCGAGCGAGCCTGGCAGAAGATGAAGAGAGTGAGGGTTTACCTCCTCGTTTAGGGTTGCGGTCTAAGGGTTTAGGATTTATAAATTTATAAGGTTTAAGGGGTTAGGGTTTAGGGTTTACAGGTTAGGGTTTCGGCTTTGGGGAACCGCATGTACCGCTTGTTGAGGTTAGCATTCTACAAGGGACTCTTTTTCAGGTCCCCAGTTTGGAATATCTCACTATAAAGTGATCTCTACAGGTCTTGAAAGACCCATACCCATGCCTTCTGAAACACCTAAACCTTTTTTCCTAAACTCTAGGCCGTAAATCCTAAACCCAAGTCCCCAACCCTCCAATAGCCACAAAACGGACGCCTTGGCCATGGTCTCTGGGGCCGCACAGGAAGCAATTGCCGCGACGCAAAGACAGCGGGCCTGTGTGGTTCAACTTTAGGGTTTAGGGTTAGGTTTGCGGCTTGAGGCCCCCCCCATCCCACTTAACAACACTGCCCCAAAAAAGCATATACCAAAGAACACCATGAAAATGGCAGAATTCTTTATGTTGGGATTTTGGTTCAGGGTTTTAGCTTTAGGTGTATGGTCTTCTGTTTAAGTTTTCAGGTCTGGAGCTTGATGGGCTCAGGGTTTAAGCTTTAGGGCTTAGTGTTGAGGGTTCCTAAACCCAGGGTATACCAACTTTCAGGCAGGATTCGTCCGTCAACCGTAGAGTGTTCCCTTCGTGTTTCCGTGATGCTGGTCTCTAAAACCTAAAAAGGCACTGAAATTGAGGACATTTTAGCGCTTCAGTGTTAAGGTTGGGATTTGGGGTGGAATGCGGTATTACGGTTTCGAGTTTACATTCAGTATGGTTGAAATCCTACAAGTCATTAAACAAATTGGCGGTGCGTGGCGACCCTCCCCAGCCCCTAACTAACCCCAAACCCCGGCCGCAACAACTCTGAATCAGCTACCTGCCCAAACGAAACGAATGGCGGAAAAACCCAAATCTCAGATCTCAACCCCTGGACTCTTAACCTGAAGCCCTACAACCTACACCCTCCATCTTTAATGCCCAGATTCTATACCCCAAGTCCCAAACCCGCCCAAGCCTGAACTCCTGTACTCCATATAGGCATTCCATACCCCTGTACAAGCCATGTGAGCTACAGTCAATATTTCCTGCATAATTTAACGGGTTTCTTATTCTTAGGGACTTTTTTAGGGACCATACTGAACAACAGGAGAGATCCTTATGTCCACTGTTAAAGGTTCTTTACTAAGGCTAATCTTGACTGTGACTCATTTAATCCCCATAAACCACTACATAATCCCAGTTTCCATTGCTGTTTCCGCTTTCTTGTCCATGTGATTCTCCTTAACTGGGAACATTACTGGTCCCTTAATAGGGCTAATATTGGCAGTAGCTCATATAGCTGCTAAACCCTAAACCCCGAATCCCTAAATCCCTCAACCCTGAGTCTCTTGATAAGCTAATCTAAACTCCTAGTATCCCCCTCAATATCCCTGAAAGTCCCCAATAAAATCCCCTATATTACACCCTTTAAGGAGTTCAGACTATAGCTATATAGCCGCTTTAAAGAAACAAGTCCCCCACCCTCAACCTCTGGCCTCGGTATGGCCGCAGGAAACTGCGGCTGCAAGGGCTGCATGGCAAATCTTTGGCCATTGGTTTTAGGGTTTAGGGCTTTGGGTTTTAGGGTTTTAGGTTTTGGGGCTTAGGGTCTCTTTCTGCCTGTTTTGCTGGGTGGGTTTCAGCCCTGTCAGAAGGCAAGGGTTTGGGTTTTAAGGGCTTAGACCTCTGGGTATTCGGTCGGCCCAACAGCTTGTGCTCGCTTGTGATTCTTGTGGTAGGTTTCGGGTTAATCTGGGTTTAAGGTTCATTTCTTGTTCATATGTTGACTCTTTGTTGTGTTGTTTTTAGGCTTGTGACCAGTAGTTTGTATGTTGCTGCACCTTCACCCTAAACCCTAAACCCTAAACCCCAAACCCTAAACCCTAAACCCTAAACCTTGGAAAGATCCCCATGAAGCCCCAGTTTGAGGTTCTGCTCAAGCGACTTTAACCAACCGCTGTGGAGCCAAAAGTTCAGGCACATGACGAGGAGTTCATAGGGTTTAAGGGTTGATGGGGGTTATTGGGTTTAGGGTTTAGGGTTTAGGGGTTATTGGGGTTATGTTGGGGTTATATTGGGGTTATATTGGGGTTAGATTGGGGTTATATTGGGGTTAAATTGGGATAATGGAAAATAAAATGGAAACTACCATAATATGGTCTTATTTCGGCTTGGCGGCCACCATGACTTTCATCACAATTTGGGCGAAGGCTGTTTCTTTGCTCGCCAACCCCGGTGATGGGATGTAGACTCCCAATGACAGAGCCAAGGGCATTAGGTGCTGTGTACCCTCAAGACAAAGCCAAGGCTCAACCTCAATCATCCCTGAGTCATTTAGGGTTTGGGGTTTAGGGGTTTAGGGGTAAGGGGCTTAGGGTTTAGGTAATCAAGGTTCCCCATAAGCAGGATCATTGGAAATGGAAACTATGACATTCGGGTTTTTGCTGGCCTGAGGATATGCCAGAATGATTTTTCTTACTCCTTGTTGTGTTGCAGCTGTCAGAGAAGCGCCAAAAAACTAGCAGATTCGTCGAGCTATTCAGAGACCCTGGCAGCCTCACACCTTCGAAAGGAAGCCTCTCCCCACCCTAACTCCTAAACCCAGGACCCTAAACCCTAAAAGCCCTAACCCCCTAAATCCCAGACCCTAAACCCTAAAAACCCCAAACCCTAGATCCTGAAAAAGCCTCCACATCCTAAGAGCTGATCTGCTTGGGAAGAAGAGGATTGCATCTTTCGAGGGATTTTTTGGAGGAACCCCGGGCAGAACAAACCCACCCTACCTGGGGGATACCCCAAGTGGGGGTTCTATTGAACTACCTTAAAAGGGAATATACGGGTTCTAAAAGGTTTAATGAGGTTAGGGGGTAGGGTTTGCCAAAATTAAGGGTACCTTTTTGGGGTTGCCTATAATAAGGGTCATAGTATATTGAGGTCTACATTGGGGTCCCCCTTATTTTGGGAAACTACCCAATTACCTACAGCTTAAGGGGTTAAACCTACTAACTGATCAACTAAAGGATAATTGCTTCTAGGCTGTAGGTAATTGGGGTTACAGGTAGATCTTCTTCAAGCGGGATTTTAGGGATCGTTCAGGGCGTACGGACGCCAAGCATCTTCATATACACCCCCTGTCTAGCCTTGGTCTAACAACAGCGGTTTAGGGTTCAGGGTTCCTAGGTAATCCGGATATTACATCTCTGAATAGGCACAAGCGTCTCCAATAAAGCTCCGTTCCCACAACCCTAAGCCCCTAAACCCTAAACCCCTAAACCGAGAGTCTTTTGATCCAAGCTGTTTCGGCTGCTAAGCGGCTGTCTCCGATGAGCTGCATTCCTGTGAAATGCTTCCGTGAACTTGATCAAGCCAGCCCTTGTATGTAAGGGCTCAAGGTTTAGGGTTCAGGGTTAAGGGTTTAGGGTTCAGGCCTTGAAGCTGAAATATAAGCAAGATACAGAGGGATATCCCATTTCAAGTTGTTGCTAAAGATATGGGCATTCCAAAAGCAGTCCCTTCTGCATCCCCCCCAAACTGGTGCCATCTTCAGAATAGGCACGCCCCGAAGAGGGGCCTCGAAGTCTTAGAAATGTCCGATAGGCACGTTTTGAGGTGTCGCATGGAGTACAAAAGTGGGATCTAGCTTTAAAAGGTACCCTATGGACACGAAACTGATGTACAGAGCTCGCAACGGTGGACAGCAGGAACGCAGCTCGGATGTGAGTTGTAAGCGTGAGGAGCAAAGCACTTGTCCGACATGGATCCAAGCGAGGAACAAGGCATGAAATCGCACTGCCACCTCTTGCACACCAGCCGCAGGGACTTCGAAGCCATGTGCAGCTTCGCTCACTTTTTCTCGTCCTCCTCCTTGACCTTCGCTTTGCCCTCCTGCTTGACTTCCTGGGCGGGTGACATGGTTACTTCCTAGACGGCCCTCATCAAGCAGATGAACTTCCATGACATGAATATCTCTCGAGGAAGTCGTCTAGCAAATTGCCCCTTCATGCGAATATCAAACACCCACCCCGCACCCTAATTGCAATTGTGCCACCCAGTATGTAATATGAAACATATTTGCTGAAGGTGGGGGGCGGGTGCGTGTAATATCAATAGGCAGGGATTAGGATTACTGCGCCGGGAATTTGCCATCCTGTTAGAAGGACTTCACCCGTTCAACCCTGCCATTTGCTAGGAATGAGCGCCCTTGCAATCTTTAGAAAAGTGACTTGGACATGAAAAGTAAGTAAACTGATGACCCCAACACCACAAGAAACAGCCAAAAAGGCCATAAATCTACATACTGCTTTCGTTCTCGGAACTGCGGTTTTGCAGGCAGTGCACAACTTGGAGTGTAGGACTCACCATCGGAGAGAGTTGGTCTTTTCTCTGGTTCCGTACTAGGCATATGGGGTTCCAAAAAACTAGGAGACCATGTTGGGGGTCCCCAGAATCGGATTATCTAGATTTGGGTCACCTTTTTTTTTTTATGGAAGCTACCATATCTTTCCCTAAACGTGAAGCCCCACAGCCTCATCCCCAATCCTCCTACCCCCTCAAAAGGGACATGCTATTCCCTCTATAATCCCCTTAAAAGATACATGATATACCCCTGTACCCCCCTTAAAAAGGTACATAATATTCCCTAGAGCCCGTTGAAACGGACACCCTTTAAAGTGATATTCCCGGTAATCCCCTTTAAAAGGGAATGGGAGGTTGAAACCCGAAGACGAAGGCTAGGTCCCCCACCGATTTAGAGTTTAGGTTTTAGGGTTTAGGCTTTAGAGCTTTGCTTTTAGGGTTTAGGTGTGAGGCTTCAGCTCTTAGGGTTTAAGTCTTGAGGGTTTAGGCTTCAGGGCTGATTTGGGGTGTCCGAGAATTCTGGATATTAGCCCCATTCATTGAGAATCGAATAGAAAAGGAACTGGATTATGAAATGGAAGCTGTGATTATACAACATAAAATCAGGGGGCCTTTCTTGGGAGTCCGTATGAACATGATCGTCATATGTTGGGGATCTCTCTATCTACAATGTAGGTTCAAGGTTAACGGCTTCCTTGATTACAGTCAAGGTGCCATTAAACTAGGCAACATGATAGCTTAAACCCTTAAACCCATAAACCAAGCCAAGAAAACCACTATTCTACATACTTTTTGGGGTTCAGGCCTTGATCTCCCCTGACCTCAACCCACTGGGGTTTTGGGTTTAGGCTTTACAAGGATAGTTGCCCGGGATAGTGGAGCAGTATACCTTGGTCAAGGTCCAATGTTTTGGAGGTGGAAACGAGGACCTCGCTTTTGTGCAAAGCTGCAAAACCATGTCCAGCCTGCCTCAAACGCACAGTAAACTCTGTGAGGCTGTATAAGGTTCACAAACTGAACGGAAGGCTAACATATGGGTTGTTCTCAAAATTATGGGCCCGGTTTGGTTCTGGAGAATATTATGTCACCTAATATTTAGGGGCACCAAAATAGGACCCTAATTTTGGGAACTACCCATATCTTTGATTGAGTCACTGCTTACCCCAACCGTTTGAAAAACATGCCATTTTGCGGCTTCGGTTTGGGGGAGTCCCGAAGTAGCGGTATCCTGTAATGGTTCCGGGGTATAGTAATGCTTCTTGCGAAGACCCTCAAAAAGGGACCCATAATTTCCCCTAAATAATCCCCCATATAACCACCCTTTAAGGAGTTTAGAGAGTTTAGACTATGGCACATTTGTTTGTATCCTCTCGGAGCCTGTCATAACGTCCCTAGAACTTGAAAAACTGGGTTGCTGTTACGGAACTTAGATCAGGTTACCATATTCTGGGTATACAGGGTCCAGGATTTAGGGTATATAGGGGTTTAGGATTGAGGGTTTAGGATGTAAGGTTACCATCACATGGGCATATAGTGCGTAATAGATCAGGGGCTTTCATAATTATATACTATAAGTTCCTTAATAGCGACTCGAAAACCCTGCTGGGCTCAGTGCTCCCTTGATGCCGGCGGCGGCTTGGTCCTGCTTGGGGTCGCGGTAGTAGCCAAGACCGCGCATGCCTCAGAAACTTCTGACCCAAAGCCCAAAGCCAAAATTCGGTTTAGCGTTGAGGGTCGATGCTTTTATGCGAAATTCGGAACTGCTCAGAGCTTTTTTGGAATCAGGGATTGATCAAGAGTTTGAGTGCGGTTCACGGGCGTGTGGCTCAGGATTCATTTCTTCTGAATATGCGGATTGAAGGTTTGGGGTGGCTGGAGTTTGGGCCCTCAAGGGCCATACCAATCATGTTACATGCTGCGCATAGCCATAAACCCGCCTAACACCCACAATCGGACATGATAGCTCCAACCAACAAACCCAATGCCTTGAAGAAGCCTAGGTGAGGCCTGGTCATTAAAAACAGTCATGAAGCCATCCGTACCATCATCATGACACAGCAGTTGCCTACGCTAAACACTTAACCGAAAGCCCTCAACCTTAAACTCTGAGCCGGAAACCTTTCACTCTAAGCCTTAAACCCGAAACCCAACTTCCAAAACCTTAAACCCTGAAATGTATGATCCCCAAACCATATAAGCCCAAATCACTGCAACGCTACGCACTTCACCGTGACCCCAAGCAAGGATCCCGAACGCCCGGCCCAAGAATGGACACTGAGAACCCTCATACCTTCGAAGCCCTCACTCAAGGTCCGAAGCCCTATGCAACCTTATGGAATCCTATCACCGTATGAAATCTCATGCAACCCTATTTAGCCCAACATGACCCCCATATAGCACCTCAAAGCTCAAAGGGCCGACCCTAAATCCTAAACCTCTACACTCCCCCAAACTAAAATGGAAACCCATAATAGGCCCATTTTAGAGGGACTGTAGTCTTTATAGGGCCCCTTTTGGGTTTCCATGTTAGTTTCCAGGAGTTAAACACCTTGTTGGGGTCTAGGGGTTTAGGGCCTATGACCCTCCATCGCTTATAACCCTTTTCACAACCCAATATAGCCCTACCACACCCTTTTAAGGGCTCCTTAAAGGCCTGAAGGGCCGATCCTAAATGCCGAGCCCTAAGTCCCTTGATAACCCTATCCAACCCTACATAACCCCAAAATGGACCCCAACATGCTATCATCCTTATGTTTGGGACCCCCCCCAAAAAAAGAGGTACCCATGCGTAGTTTGGGAAACAACCAAATAACCCCTATCTATCCTAATAGAACTTAGAGAACCCCAAGTACCCCCCATGTAGCCGCAAAATGGCCCTAAAACCCCTAAAACCCCTAAATCCCTAACCCCAAAACCCTAAACCCCTTAAGCCCTAAACCCTAAACCCCTTAAGCCCTAAACCCCTTAAGCCCTAAACCCCAAACCCAAACCCTAAAAGCCACACCCAAAACCTAAAAGCCCGAAGGGCCCATCTTGAAGCACCAGCCGGGCTTGGCTCCCTGGAAAGAGGTGGCCTCGGTCGTGCTTTTTTTGTGTGGTCTTGGGTTTAGGGTTTAGGGGTTTGGTGTTTGGGGTTTTAAGGATTTAGGGTTTAGGGTCTTAGGGTTTGTAGGGTTTAGGGTTTGTAGGGTTTAGGGTCTATACGGTTTAGGGGTTTAGGGTTGGGCCCGGTTTTCTAGAGTCTCGTTTATAAGGGTTCTATAGAGTTTGCATGCGGTTTCGAAGGCTTATATAAGGATTTTGTAAGGTTTAGGGTCTAGGGTTTAGGGTCTGGGGTTTAGGGTCTGGGGTTTAGGGTCTGGGATTTAGGGTCTGGGATTTAGGGTCTAGGGTTTATAGTCCCTTTACAAGGGTTCTATAGAATTTGTATACTGTTTCGAGGGGCATGTAAGATTTAGGGGGGTTTGGTTGGGGCTTTGGGAGGTAGAGGTGTTGTAGGGTTTCTTGGAGTGATGTAGAGTGTGTGTCTGTGTGGGAGGGAGAGAGAGAGAGAGAGAGAGAGAGAGAGGGAGGGTTTGGAGGGTTCGGATGAAGCGGTTCAAGCGCAAGCCCTCTATGTCCAAATATCCCCTTTGGAGCTTCAACTACTTTGATTTATATGAGCTATAGTCGAAACTCCTAGTAACCCCCTTCATAACGCCTATAATACTCCTATATAGTCCTCCATAAAACCACCTTCAACAAGTTTAGACTATAGCTCATATGATACCATAATTTCATGACTTTGCGCACACACGCATCTCTGAATCTTACACCCTTTAAGTGGGGGGGATGGTTAAGGATCCTAGACGCTTGCACCTGGGCCTGTCTAGAGGCTTAAGGTTTAGAGTTTAGGGCTGCTTTGCCGTTGTTGCTACTGGAGACATCCATTAGGAAAGGTCTGCGTATTTATTAGGGCTTTACTGTATTAGTATACGGGGCACAAATCTAACGACTGTTTCTGGCATCATACTGACCACAACCAACAAATTTCGTTCAACTCCTAGACCCTGAGCCCAACGTATACCTTTAGCCCCCTTAGAAGGAACCATTAGTACCCAAACCCTAAATCCCTAAACCCTATATGTTTCTGTAGCCCCTTACGGGGATAACTAGCACATCAGCTCCCTGAACAGAAGCTTAGAACTTAGAAGATTCCAGCCCTATGTGTAGGGTTCAGGGTTTAGGGTTTAGGGTTCAGGGTTTAGGGCTTTTGGGCATATGTATAAGTATGTCTCCCTACATAATCCCCTATCCTAAGCTAAATTCTGAACCTTGGATCCTGTTAACCAAAGGTAAGTAACAGAAACACAGAGGGTTCTGAGACCACAATCCCTAAGCCCCAAGCCCTATACGTCCCATACATATAGGGGTCATCTCTCCCCACAGTCCATAAATTCCTTAATAGTGCCTTGAAGCCTTTATCTATTAAAGAATCATCCTAAAGCCTAAGCCCTAAACCTAAAACCCTAAACCCTAAAGCAACCCAAGGGATTCTTAGACACCAGCCGGCTCGAAGGACTCCTGTTTGACACCGCCCTGGCGCCAGGTGCTGCTTGTGTCCCCGTTTTAGTCAGCTTAGGGGTTTTAGGGTTAAGGGTGTGGGGTTTGGGGTTTGGGGTCTAGGGTTGGGTGTTTACTGGTTTAGGGCTTTGGATTTAGGAGTTTAGGGTGTGGAATGTAGGGACCTAGGGTTCAGGGATTGAGGGTTTAGGGTTTTGGGGTTGTGGATTTAGGGCTTCAAGATTTGGGAGTTTGGGATGTAATGCTGTAGAGTTTAGGGGTTAGGAATTTGAGGCTTAGGGACTGGGAAGTTGGGGGTTTGATGTTCGGGGGTTTAGGGCTTAGTCGGGGTGGGCTACCCTCCCCGCAAGCACGTGGAATCCCATTGTAGAGGCTATTGCATCTACCCTCCCCCCAAAACACCATGTACATTCATTGAGCCTACTCGTAAAAAAAACATAGTTAGGAACATCCCCATGTGCGCTACTGTGTTAACTCCTGGCATCCCCCTTAATAACCCCTATAGGAGCTCCCTATATAATCACCTATATAACCCCGCTTGAGGAATCTAGACTCTAGCTCATATGGCACAAACAGGCATGCCAAATATAATCTGAAACCCTAGCGCCTAGCCATTGGTAGCTTGTCCAAAATTATGGTCCCTTCTTGGCTCCCTACTACAACGCGGCCCCTAATATTTAGGGCACCCTTTAAAGAGGATCATAAACCCTAAAGCCTAAACTCCCCTGACAACCTCCCCCCATTCCGCCTCGTCCTTGACGTCCAGCTCGTCCTTCTCCGCAGCAGCCTGCAAGTTACTCAATACCCGAGGTAGTTCATCAAAACAGGCCCCAAGACAATCCATGCGAGGAACCCTTACGCACAAAATTTCTGTTGCACCGCCACCGCGGGATTTTTCAAAACGAGGGTGCTCTAGGGTCCTATGCTATGTGGGCATTTCAGTGGACCTCTGAAAAACTTGTAACTGTAGAATAGAAGCCTACATGATCAGAATGTGGGCTGGAGCAGACTTAATATCACTGTTTTCAAGGCAGCCCAAAACCCTAATCCTAAATCCGAAGCCCTAAACCCTCAACCCTGACCCCTAGACTAGTCATGCCCAAGAACCTCCTCTTGAGCAGTTGCCATGGCGGCATAAGGATCTTCGCCCTGCAGAAGCAGCTCCACCTGTCAGTCAAAGGGTTTAGGGGGCTTGGGGGGCTTAGGGAGTTTAGGAATGTGGGGTTTAAGTTTTAAGAGGTCTAGGGTTTTGGATTTTGACGGCCCCCAAGGTACCTGGTGGGTTATAATTGGGGTAGCTACGACAGCAGAAGTGCCACAAGATGCAGCCACGGCATTTCCTAGAATTACGTACGTAGGCCATGCTAGGCACGGGATTTAGGACCTGTCGCCTAGGACCTAGGTTTAGGGTAGGGTTCGATGGTAGCAAGTTCAGTTTATCGTTCTAGGGTTTATTGGTATATTCCCCATAGTAACTGCAAGTACGGGGAGCTCGTCGGAGCTCGCTACATTAAACGCCGCAAAACCCTAATTCCTGAAACCCCTCACCCTAAAAACCCTGACCCCTACATCCTAAACCCTAAATCCCCAACCTCGCGATTGAGCGGCTTGGCGTTGAACTCGGTGGTGTACACCTGTGCAAAATATGGAGAAATATGTGAAGGGGTTCAAGGTTAAGGGTTTCCGGCGGGAGTCCTCATAATAGAGGACTCTAAAGTTTCAGTGGACAAAGGCAGTCCAGCACCACCCTACCTGTACCTTACCTAGGCCCCTGAGAGGATCTGGAAAGTAGAACCTCCGATATGGTACCCTATCCTACGATTGGGTGATTTCTAGGAACTCTCGAAATACTCCCAGAATTCTGGGTTGCTGGCAGTTACTTTAATGAGTTCTGCATGGTACCGGAATCAGACGCGCATTTCATTATCTTCCCTCAGCTCTAAACCGTGTAAACCCAATAAATCCTATAAACCCCAAATCCGGGCTCCCATTCCCAAAGTGAAGCTTGCCTTTCCAACACACTACACTTACTAGTGGTTAGCGTGGATTTGGCAGGAGTCGGATATGGAGACGATGGTGAGTGACTACATGGGGACTAGGACCATTTCCTAGGTCAAAAGGGCTTTAGGGCTTAGAGCCTCCATGCGTCCGATGCCTGAGCATGAGCCATTGTCTAAACTCCCTTAATAATCCCTATAACATCCCTCAGCATAATCCCCTCTATAACCCACCCTTCAAGAGTTTAGACTATTGCTCACATGAAAGCAACTCCACACTGCATCGTGTTTGTTACGGTGTTGCAGCAGCGGCCTGTGAACTCGATTCCGCTGGCTAATAGCTTCATGAAGTGACCCACAACTGCCCTTGCGGACACGTAGAGCTATATCTGCCGTCAATGCTTTGACAACCTGATGATCAAAACTGCCCTACTGCCAGCTTGAACCAATTACAGGGTTTAAGACGCAGAGGGGCGATGCTTTAGCTGCTGTACCGAAATTGTTTTTGTTTTCGCTGGCTCTTTGGTGTGGAAACAGTCAAGGGCCCGCAGCGCAACAAGCTACACCAAGCTAAACAACAAACAGCTCAGGGGGTCGAGCGGCGAGAGCTCAGCTAAGGCTACAACTCTAGGTGTGGGGCTGACTTCAGCGACTTTAAGGCGTCGAATCGACTTCGAGTACCGGAAAATCTTGAATCACTCTGAATCACTTTACACAGACTCCCTACACGGACTCCGTTGACGCACCCAAGCTACATACTGGGGTTTCTTGGACCCAGGTATGGCAATTTTAGGTGCTATGGCTTCCTGTGGGAGTTTCCATCGGGATGATGTCTTCACCTCCCCTGTACTAAGGGGGCTCCTAGGACAGGGTGCTCCTGGGGCCCCAGCATCATGCTTACTCCTCAAGGACCCACAAAGATCAGACCAACAAGACCGAGATCGCCTGAATCCCCAACCTTCTTTTTTCTACCTCAACCCCTAACCTCTAAACGCTAAATCCTAGAGTCCAACCCACCCCCCCCCCCTTCTACAGAGGCCTCCTCTACGAAGCGCTTGAGCTTGACTGCCTTTGAATGCTCTCAGGCTTCAGAGCTTGGTTTAGGTTGGTTTAGGAGTTTGGAGCTGAGGGATGTGGGGGTTTCCCAAAACTAGGGGTAGTTTTTTGGGGGGTCCCGACTACAAGGATTATACTTTTTTGGGGTCTATGTTGAAGTCCCCCCTATATTGAGAAACTACCATGTGTGTTGAGGGGTCAGGGCTTGGGGTTCTGAGGATTTGGATTTGGCCTATTCCCTGGGAGTCCTTACCTTGCGTTTCGGGCTTACTATGACGCGGTGGCTCAGGGATGGGGCTTCGAGGTGTCAGGAGGACCCTGCACTAACCTGAACGTCCACGAAAAGCACTAACCTGAACGTCCACGAAAAGGCCTCAACACGCGGTTTAGGGTTTAGGTTGAAGGTTTGGCACCGTCCTATCCCTATACACCCTAATTCGACACCACAAGACCGACTGTACCCTCTCCTACACAAACATGGAACCCCAGCAAGCCTGCTTTCAAAAGGACAACAGCCTCTGCAGGCCCTCTGTTGGAGGTCCATGTTATCTTGCCGTTGACTTAAGCCCGAAAACCTAAAGCCTTGGAAAAAATCAGCACTTAAGGTCTCGTCTATCCTGGGGTGTCCCTTGTGTACCCGCCCAAACAACCACCCTTATCTTTAGCACGCCGAAGAATTGACCATTGATTTCTGAAAATCCCTTGGCTAAATCCCCAAGCCCTACATCCTGTCTATGTAGAAATATCTCCCCATCAAACCAAAAACCGGTTAACAACTTAAAGTTTTAACAATACTCAACTGTAGCAAATGTTCAAGAGAAAATTGTCGTACGTTGGGAATATCCATAATGTCGCAGGGATCTAGATATAGTCTAAACTTCCAGTATCCCCTTTAATAACCCCTAGAATGCTCCCCTATATAATCCCCCTATATAACTCCCTTTATATGATCGCCTTTGTAACCCCCTTTGCGGAGTTCAGACTATAGCTCAGATGGGGTGGACTTCAAGTCAGGATCGAAGCGGACTTTACTTCTGCGGGATGATCATCCCTCCAGGTAAGCTATTCTTGCAAAAATGGTTTTCCAGTCTTATTACAACCCAGTAAGGACTGTGAGTCCATGGTCTATGGTGTCTTTTGTGGAGCATGACAATGAGGAACCAGCATCTCCCGAAACACTGAACTCTTAGGTAGAGCATCCAGTCTACTTACCTCAAGAAACCTCGGTTAGGGTTCAGGGTTCAGTTTGGGGCACGGGTTTAGGGTCTTGTGGTTTAGGGTTTTACACATTTGGGTTTGGAGTTGAGCACTAAGGATCTGGCTACCTTACTCCCATGTCAGGCTGACTTTACCATGCGGGTCTGTATTTCTACTGGCTCATAGGGACATCGCTGCTAAGATAACTGAACCTTACTCTTCGAACCGCAAAACTAAAAGCCCTCAACCCTGAACCTCCAAACCTCAAACCCCAAAACCCGAACCCCCTAAACCCAAAACCCTAAACCCTGAACCCCCTTAATCTGCAAGGCTCCGACCCACTTGGCGCGCCAGTTTGCCACCTTCTTCACGATCTTGTTCCACTCCAAGCCCTTCATTTCAAGGCTGTTTGGATGAATGTAGGTGCCAAAATCGCTTAAACCCTAAACCCTAAAATTCTGGACCCAACATCCCTAAACTCTAAACCCAATATTCTGGTCCTAGGATCGATTTTTTAGGGCTTAGGTTCTGGGAAATATATACGCATCCTTATTATATGGGATGTCGGAAGAGCAAGGAGGTTGTCTAGCTGCCAGCCCGTTTAAGGTAACCCCTTGGCCTATATAGCCCCCATGTAGCCTCTATAACCTCTTCTAATCTCCTATAAACCCCTGTCTATCTCCTACACCCCTCTGTCCAGTCACCGCTCTATACCCCCCTTATAACCCAATTCCTAAACCCTGAATAGTAGCTCTTGACCTGGCCCTTCTTCTTCAAGGAGCCTTGTTGGGGATCAGTAGGAGTAAGGGAATGCATTATAGAGATTTATGGCTTCGGATTTAGGGTTAGTAGAGAACAAGGAAATATATGCTATAGTGCTTGTATTCCTCCCCACGAACAACCACTAAGTTCTTCTTGAAGCTCCAGCACCCCAGTTCGGAGCAAGAGCCTATCACTAAGTGCTTCTGGTCTCGGAGCAAGATATACTGGGTTTCTGTGAAGGAACCCAACTTAAGCTATATTACCTCCCCCTTATAATGGAGAGTCATATGGAAAAAGAAATGGACATTACATGGAAACTGGGGTGGTATAAGGGCTTAAGGAGCCTAATTTAAGTTACTACAATGCAGGACCATATTGTGCATTATATATATATACACACACATACACACCCATTATGGTAACATAGTTGAAGTTCCTTAGCAGCAACCCAGTCTAGGGATCTGTTTGCATTCTCAGACAAAAGAGGCTTTGGAAGCCCCAACCGTCAAATCAGGAACCTGTCTGTGTCACGTGATAATTACACTAATTAGAAGGTCCTGATGTTCAGCGTTGGGGTTACTTTTCTATAACGATTGTCCAAAAGGGCTGTCCGACATTATCTGTTTATAGCTGGGGGGTTTCTCTGCATAACTTAATTCAATGTGACTAAAATACCCAAGACTCAACGCCCTAAAGTCCTAAACCAAAAGCCCTGGATCCCAAAATTTAAACTCCTAAACCAAAAGCTTGAACTGCTGAACCGTAGCACCTGGTTGGGCTCGGCATCCACGCACTTTCGGATCACCTGCCGTTGTACAGCTGAGGCCCAAGGTCTAGGATTTGGTCGCAACCCCTACGTGAGGTGGGGCCTAGGGTTTAGGGTTTAAGGCTTAGGAAGTCAAGGTCTCTTTTTTGGGCTTGCCATGAGTTCCCGTTCTACTTCCTCTATATACCACCAACCCAGAGTCTAGAATCCGGACTGAGGGGATTGCTGGCAAAGCAGCAGGAAACGTATGACCTGGATCCCAAAAAGTCGGTGCAGGCCACCCCATGAGCAAGTCAAGGCAAGACTAATTCTTCACACCTGTGGGTCTGGGTAGTAGATGATAGGTGAAACCTTCTAGCAAAGCCCCTGCCTCACGCTGCTCGTGGGAGGTGCCGTTTTCCAGCTCAAAGGCCAAATAGGCTCCCCAGGCCTCAGGCTATCACATATAAGAATTTCTCGGGGTTTAGGGACCAGGGTGTGGGGTTTGGGGTTTAGGGGTTAGGGTTTGTGAAGTTTAGGGCGTATGCTTGGGATTTCAGGTGGGATTGCTGCCATGAGGGTTCTAAACCTGTTCGAGACACGCGGCTTGACAATTGCTACTTTTTGAGAACGTCAGTTGTTTTTCTTCGTGCTATTGTTCTTCTTATACTGTTCACACCCATAATCTCATTACTGCTACCATGTTCATTACGTCGAAAGTCGTGTAGGCACAAGCCAGGATCAAGATCCAGAAATGTCCTGGAAGTAGCTTGCTGGGTTGTATAGAACCTAGGCATGCAGATTACAAAGCAAGAGCGTCATCTGCAATAGTAAGCTGAAGAGTCTATATGAGCCATAGTCTAAACTCCGGGTATCCTCCTTAATAACCCTTATAAGACTCCCCTATATAGCCCTCCTTAAGGACTTCAGACTATAACTCATATGGTATGACCTGGTTATAGCTTGAGTTTTCTCTACCTAGTGTAGAACCTCAACAGTTCCTGACTGTGCGCAAGCAGGGCCAGGGTGCAATGATCCAGGGACATTCCTGTGCTCATGAAAGTTCTTGAGCTGCTGCAGTACCCTACCCTAATCCCCCAACTCTTATCCCTAAAGCCTACCTAAGCGACTATAATCCCCAAGCACCTAAACTGATAAAGTCTGAACCCCTAAACCCCCAAACCTTACGTAGTCCTTACACTCAGGTAAACCCCTAAACCCTTTAAACCCCAGTCCTGGAACCCCTACTCCAAAGCCTACACCGAGTCTAGGCTCCCCACATCGCCCAAGCGCGGGTTCAGCGTCACTGCGCGGTTGAACCTCGTTTTGCAGCATCGGGTGCTTAGAACTGGAGAGGAGTCATCAATGCAGGGGCCTAAATAATCTAAATGGATTTGGGGCTGGAAGGGTTGAAAAGGAGTAGTATCTCTAGGCGTCTACACCGGGCCTGGGGTTCAGGTTTTAAGCCAGTTGGGGGTTCAGGTTTAGGGTGGGGCATCTTCCACTTGCTTTTGAATTGCCAAAACGGAGGAGAGCCTATAACTGGAACAAACAAAAGCCGTAAACATTTACAAGCGCATGCATGCGCTTACTGCGGGTTTAGCCTTTAGGCTGTGGGTTATGATGAGGCTGGCGCTGTATAGAATCACCGAAATCTGTTGTTCTATCAACAACAGCTTGGCTGTGTTCAGCGTTGATCCTCTTGGACCTCTACACAAACGTAACACAACAGCTTGATCTCCCTGCTCCTTGGTTGGTAGGGATATCGCAATGAATACGGGGATTATATAGGGACTACTATAGGGATCCTTCCTTGATTCCCTACTAAGCAGCGCGCACCTAGAACACGTGCCTTGCTGCTGGACCAACATACCTGGCAGGCCTTCCGCACAAGGCCATTCGAAAAGATCAGAAGTTTACTGGGTCGATGTTAAGGAACTAGAACTAAGTTACAGTAATATGGATCTTAAGTGTCTAGCTCCCTCCACAGCATCCCAGGAATGAAAGCAGATGCGGGCAACGGAGCAAGACCCAACTAGTCAATCCCTTGCTCCTATAGACTGACTGCCTTCCTCTTTATGAGGAGTCCCAGTCCCACGCTTCAGACATGGTACAGTGCAAGAGACATTACTGTCAGAAGAGGCGAAGCTGTCCTGGTCCAAAGGAAGGGATTGACAGACTTAACTACGGAAATCATGACATGGATTGCAGTCTCAACTATTTGTAGGCTCAGGCGTAACACGAGTGGGGCTATAAAAGCCTGATAAGACTGAACACCCGCGGCTATCCAACTTCTAACCCTGCGTGGAACTGCGCATGAACCTCCAAGTGAACGGTAAAGATGTTGTCCAGCTGAGCCCGCAACCACTTGCGCGCTTTGGCATTCTTGCCGTCTCGCCAGAAGAGCTTTGCCACTGCAATGATCACATGCCTTGAGTTCAGCACTGCTTCTGGGTACCTAGCTAACTTCAAGAAGGAATACGTACTTCCCAAAACAAGCACATACATGTTTGTTGGATCAAAGTGAACTTCCCCCACCAAGAGAATGGGTATTCATGGGACGAACTGCTCGCTTTCACAGCAGTCCTTGATGATCAAACAGTGGCAGGGTCCAATAAGAGATGCAAGGATCCCAAGGGAACTTTAGGGGCTGTAGTGATTTTGGCGTTCAGGATGCTTTAAGGTCTTGGGTTTGGTTGGCGTTTAGGATTTCGGGGCGCTTGGGTTTAGGGGGTTTAGGGTTTGGGGTTGAGGCTCTGAGGTTTAGGGTCTAGGGTTTAGGGTGTAGGTGGGGTTTAGGGCGGTACTATAAAGGGCCTGGCCAGTTGTTTCTGACGAGGTTCCCTACAGAACTACACGGAAAATTCCAACAAATACAAGATGTTTTACCCAAATAATGATAGGCAAAGAAAACCTCGCTGCTCTTATTGGGATATAATAATGGGGGTTTCCCCCAGCGGTAAAGATCCCCTTTGAGCAGCTCTATGACAAGGACTGTAATCTTTAGGGATATATTAGCGCTACGCCCAAGCCTGGCAATGCATGCAGTATGTAACGTGACTACTCGGTTGAGGAAAACTGCCTCCAGAGACACTCGATCACGTATTAGGACCATAAAAGAGGACTAGCTGATGCAGACGAGGGGTTTGCAGGAATTACAGAGGATGAGTACCACAGCTTGGAGGGCTCCCGGCTTCGACCCTGTTTGATTTGAGGGTTCAGGGTTTTGAGGTTTAGGGATGTTTAGGGTTCGCAGGCTTATGGTCTAGGTTTCAGGGTCCACTTTTGCGGGCAGGGGTTTAAGGGGAGTCTTTCCGAAAGAAGCATGGAAGCCCAAAAGCGGACCTAGTAAGCTACCAGCACTGGTAACCAGGGATTCCATGATTACTCATGGCAGGGTACAGTCTTAAGCTTCACGGCTTAGGGATTTGGCGGCCACCTTAACAGACATGGAAGCTCAACAGGGGCGCTACCGGGTTACCGCCCACGTTGGGCCTACATGTGAGCAAAAGTCTGAACTCCCAGTATCCCACTCTATAACCCCCATAATACTCCCCAATATACCCCCCCTGAAGGAATTTAGACTACAGCTCATGTAAGGTTATGCTGTCTTAACTTACCCCTGGTTAGTAGGGAATATGAATAGGGGAATATGATCCGTATAGCATCTCAATGTGATATAGTCCCATTCACTACTAACCACCTGGAAGTTAACCATAAAAGAGGAGATGGGATCCCACTCTGGGGCGAAAGGTTAATGAAGGTCTCACTCATGTAGTACTGCCTTGCAAAAGTTAATTTGAAGGTTGTCAAAACCGATCCCAAAAGACATTTCCCGCAAATACAAGGCATCTGTAGTGCAAAACATTCTGCCATCTTAAAGCTCTGATACCATCTTAGTAGCCCTTTCTTGGTGGCTGAATCAAGCAGGAGTCTTTTACTCTTTTAGAGTGATATACTGCCTAAAAGGTGGATGTAATCTTCTTCTACAATCGCTGGGACCAGTCCTAGGACCCCAAATAGAATACGTCTCCTCGGTAGGCTCCGAATGTTTTGCTCATGAGCGGACTGCGACTCACCCCAGACATTGGGATCAATGAGTCCTGGACGAGATCCCGCAGTCGCCTTTGTAAGGGTTGCTGAAGCTGTGAGGAACCATTCCATGTCCTGAGGTCTAGGAAAAAGTCTGCCTGCCAACTGTACTTTTCCCTGGTGGCATTCCGTTTGGGCGGAGCCCAGGGTGGATAAACGTACAATGTAACAGGCTTCTGGCCCACCAAGCCACGGCTGCGCAGCACGGACACGGGAATCAGGTAGATGCCGTGTAGTTGCTCTGTATCAAGAAGAGACACTGCCAGCACGTCGAAATCATCTTTTGCATAGGCACGCCTTCCGAGCACGCCTGCCCTCTTCCACAGCTCACACTTATACCTTCCGTTTACCTTGCAGGAATGTGATGCCTTTTCCTGCAAACGCACGCGCTCCACCAAGCCAGCCGGACCGTCGACTGTCAGAAGCGAGTCGACCGTTGTCTGATGTTCCCGAGGCCGTGACAGGCACATTTTCACGCTAGCAAACAACGCATTCAGTTGGGCATGCGCCCGTGCTTCTACTCTGTTGCGTGGTGCACACTGCAGGAGCGCTTGCTGTATGGACATGTGCTCAAATCTTTTGCTACGGAAGCACTTCACCAGGTGCGAGGCGAGATCAGGAAGCGCATATTTCCGACAGCTTGCGGCCCCAACAGTAATCGATAAGTGATTGATTTGCAGCTGTGACCCTGCAGCGGTCCAGAGATGACCCCCGTCCAGTGCCACCATGATGACAAGCATCCCATCATACCCTACCACGCGATTGAAATGGTATTCACGGCCTTTCTTGCCGCGGCTAGTGGCAGCTTTGAGCTGAATGAGAAGCCCATTTCCTTCCGAGCCCTTGGGCCGGAACACAGCATCAGCCCTAGAAGCACCGGTCAAGGGGACAATCTCATATCCTTCTGCCGAAGAAGCTGCAAACGCTTCTCGGAACAGCTCGAAGGCCCTTGCCTCGTTTCGATAATTGCGCCCTCCAATTCGCAATCCGCGTTGGCGAGCCCGTGCATCTGTCTCGCTGTATCTGGCCTCCTTCTTGGATGGGAAATTCAAATACCTCTTCAGCTTCTGCTTGTCGCTGGGAAACAGATTTCGCAGCTTTGCATCGTAGGCCTCTGCCGCCTTCTTGGCAGACTGGAAGCTGCCAAGGTGCTGGCTTTTCCCATCAACCCACAGTCGCGCCGTGAAAACACAACCCCTCTTAGTCTTGTAGAAAGTAACGCCGCAGTACTTGTCTGCTTCAGCCTTGGCCGCAGCAACTGGATCTCGAGGTCTGGGACTGAAGCAGACCGGGCCGTCCAACACCAGGCACAGCACCGAGCCAAACACCAGCCATGGCAGCAAGCGGGAGTACATTCACGTAAACAACTTATTGGGGGGGGGATAGTAGGGAATAAGGGAATGTGCTCGCTTCATAATCCTTATATCTATCTATATATATATATCTCTGTACATATGTATGTATATATATATATATATATATGTTCCCTTATTCCCCAAGAACCCCCAGTAAGACAAAGCAGGCCCGCCGCATGGCGCCCGCCTGTCCGTTGCCAGTCTAGTCAATTCCAACCTATATCGCCAAATCGTCCTGAAGTAAGTAGCGAGTTTTGAGAGAACGTCTTGTCCATTTGATTCTCCATTATCCGGGATAGTATCCCGTAAAACACTACCGACTTCCTTCTGCCAGGTCACTTTGGAGCCTTGCAGCTGCCAGCTCCATGTTGGTTTCAAGGCGAGAAACAATTCCTGGATGTGTTGTTCCCTGTCGCCAGGCTTTGCCAGAGAGCCTGTGCTAAAGATAACACATGTGAGCTTCAACCCATCAAAAAGGACTCCCCCAACATCTGCACATCGTTGGAGAGGATGATGTGGTATTGTAGGTGCTACGGCTCGCCTACACACCTGAGATTTTAAGCGGAGCATATCTGCCACACTGAAACTGAGACTACAACCCTTCACCTACCTTGGTTATTCGGCTAGCAAGGATTGAATGTATAGGTTGGCGGTTTTATGGGGTTTGCCCCTTTCATAGGGACTAAAGTATTTTAGAGTCTATATTGGGGTTTAGCCTATAGCTGCAAGCCTGAAGTCAAGACCCAAAGGCCTGAGCCCACACTAGCCAGGTAGGCGGGTCACAGGTTTGGGGTACCGATGTGCAGATAGGTATATATGTATATATATATATGTATGCATATAGGGTGTAGGGATTAGGGTTTAGGGTTCAGGGTCCATACCTATAAGTGCACATTTGCCAGAACTTCTGTTTGTTCCTTGGGGTGACTTCGGGCCCAGCATGCAGCCAAGGTGCGCGTCGTTCTCACACTTCTTCAGCGCATCAACGCCTGTGCCAGGGATACACTGGCAGCAGTCAAAAGAGTAAGAAACAACAGTTAACTGGTCAACCTGGTGCTTAGGAACTGGGGGGAATGAGCGAAAAAGTTACGGCTGTCAGTGTTCGTTATATACGAACTGATACAGGAATCCATTCCGTCCTTACCTTCTATTACCAGCTTGTAGTTCCACTCCTAAACCCTTAACCTCCGAACTCCGAACCACTAGGCACCAAAAGCACCAAATCCTTCAGGCTGAACCCCTAAATCCTTACACCCCAGGCTGAACTTGATGCATCTGCAAGTTCCCCCAACAAAAGACTGGCTTGAAAACCCAAAGCAAAATAGTTTAAGGTCTCGAAGCGTGTGTTGAGGACGTAGAGTTCGAGAGTCTAGAGTTTATGTGTTTGGGGTTTTACGGTTCTTGTGTTTCATGGTTTTACTATCCCCCATACCATGGCAGCAACAAAAGCTCCCTTTCGGAAGGACAACCCTTTCTAGAATCTCAGGCTAGCTCGGGCAGGGGTAGGCTTTTACTTGGAGAGTCAGGGGGGACTCGGGAAGTATACTTATAACCCTTATATGCCATATACTCCCAGGATTAACCAACTTGCCAAGTCCCGCTGGCCCTTTAACCACTCGAAAATCTGAGCCTACCAAACCCCTGTATAAACCCAGCTTCCACTTCACTTTCCATGTTTTTCCATTAGGTTCTCCATCATTCTCACAACCCAAAGCCTAAGCCCTAAACCCTAGAGGCATTCCAGTCGGCCCACAATTTGTACTTGTGGTCTCGCCAAATAGCACGCAATAGTTAAACACACCAAGATTCCTAGGCAACCCGGTATACACTCACCACAAACCACAATCAAAAAAACAAGTCTACTTCATATACCCAAATCCCTACCCTTGCATATATTCCAGTGCCCATCTCATTGTCCATGCTGCTTGAAAGTGGTTCTCCATTACTCAGGTAATACCCCTAAACCGTCATCCCTGAACCAATTAGGGTGGGGGCTTCAGGGTTTGATGACTCCTTTCCGTTGACCCATTTCAGTACATCATGAACCCGAGCTCTGGTGCTGTGGCTATATTGCTCCTCTTGTAGAAATGCTTGATACATATAAGGTGTATGTCGTGCTGTTATGGGGATTACATGGGGTTTAGGCACGGTTGGGGGATTCACCCAATATTGGAAAATCAAGTGGAACAGAAGCTGGAACATGAAATGCAACCTTCGCTTATACAACCGGCCATTCAAACCCTAGCCGAAAATCCTGATCATGCCGAAGACCCTCTGCCCCTAATCCCAAACCCCATAATACCCCCTAAGTCCTTAACCCTGGACACCATAACCGTACACCAGCGGACCTTGAAACCCATACCCAAGAAGCCCCCAACGCTAAAAGCCTGAACGCTATATATCGTATCCCTACCCGACATGCTCCGATTTAGAGGAACCTAAGTCCCATAGCCACCCGCCCCCCGGCCTCCCCCGACGAGGTAATGCACAGATCTTGAGAACTTACCTGTACCTTTCTCGAAATTACCCCCTAAATTCCCTAGTAAAAACCAACCGAAATCCACCATTTAACGCCTATCTATCCTTAAGGTCCCGACTCTTGGCGTTCTGGCCCTGCTTGGGCTCAAGCTCAATCGCCTCTCTTCGGGTTGGTGGTTTGGGGCTTAGGTTTATAAAGGGTTTAGGGTAGCCTACGTAAGGTGACTTTATAAAGGGGGCATAGCAAAGATATGTAAGGAATGATGTGTAGGTTTGGGGGATTGCAGTTGTACGGAACTTTAAAAGGGCCGTAAACAAGCTTAGGGTTCGGGGGTATGGGGTTTAGAGCTTGGAGCTCGGCCTTAGGGTCTAGAGTTCAGCGGTTTCGGTCTAGTATCTAGAGCTATCTTTAGGCTTTAGGGGCTCCAATGTGACTTCAAATGGGGTGCACTACCGCCTCCAGAAATGTTAGCAGATTCAGCAGAAAAAGGACCCAACATGCTCCCTTCCGTTTCATCTTGGGAGTGAGGTTTAAACCTGGATTTTTAGGCGTGCTCTCAAATGCTTGAATTTCCGACCAAATCTGAGGTGCTCGTGGGAACAGAGGGTATGCCTGGAATTCCGGCTAAGTAGGTATATTACGCAACACTACCGTTTATCTTTCATAGTATTACTTACCTGGTATCAATTTGGTTTTCTTTGCCTCGCCTTCTGACTACCCTTTATGATGCGTTATAGCATATGGTTGGGTGAGTGGGTTGTTGCACAAACCTGACCTTGGGTCTTTGTCTGGCCATGGGGTACAGTTTCATGGGTGTGGAGGCCTGAATACTTAGAACAAGCTTTGGGAGTTAGTTATACTATGATGATGTAAAGGTTGTTAGGAAGTGGTATTGGTAAGTATTGAGGCTTCTGCATTGCAATCTGTCTAAGCCTTATATAGACCAAGTTTGTAGGCATTGTCCATGTTCTGTTCCACTTGAAGTCGCTTCTCCTTGGTACTCAAAAGCGTATAAATCCTGATATGATCCCAAGTAGGAGGGTTTTGGGGGATTGGGTTGGGACATATTTTCGCATGGCCTTTTGGGTGTTGTTCAGAACATCGAAGCCCTAAAGCCCCGACTACTCAACAACAGAAGCGGAAACGGTAACCCTGAAGCAAAACCCCTCACAACTCGAATCCATGAATCCTCACACCAGGCCCCTTGACAACCACAAGAAACTTCGAAAACTGAAAACTGAAAGCACGCCAAACAAGTGCTGCGCCACCTTGGCCCAAAGCAAGCCGCTGGTAGGGCACTCCTGTACAAAGTTTAGGGTTTAGTTTAGGGTTTGGCATTGGAGAATAAAACGGACAATCACATGAATAAGGAACATGGAATCTAGGATTCGAAGGCGGTTGGTACAGGAATGTAATACACTGTAATGTAGGGGCCTTTTAAGTGTTACAATAAAGGGTATATTCCACTCCAATTTTATAGGGGTTATGAGGAAAAATATCGGTAACAATTTCAGCTTCTGCTCTGCATGCCCTCTAGGGCTTGATGTTTAAGGCATCCTGGCAAGTGCTGGCAACACACATGACTTGCGTTTTCAGGTGGGTGACCCAGTATTCTTCTATTTAGAACACCACAACCAATAAGAGGATGTAATCTTACTCCATATTGGGCATATAGCGCCCCGATTAGGAACACGCATGAATGCCCTTTACTTGGCATTTACCATGACATATGAACTGCCATGCTGCAAGTTATCCTTGCAATCCCGACCTTCTGAAAATACCCCCCCCCCATAGTAGCTTATGACGGTATGCATTGTCGGGTGGTTGGGGGGTTTGAATATTAGGGGCGGGGACTGGTATGTGCTGCTGTTACTTCATGATGGCCCTCGTTTGATGTGAACGGTTCTAAAGTTGGGGGAGGGGCGGGGCGTCGTAGGTTGAATCCAAACTCGATTCTACTTTTGTTTTTGAGCTCTTCGATGACCTCTTGACTTTTAGTTCCGAAGCTCTGTTGCCCAATCTTAAAACAGAAGCCGTCAGGTTTTTAATTCCAAGCCTGCAAACCCATTCTCTAATGAGCATTCTCGGTAATAGCGAGGAAGCGGGGGCCAGTAAGAACGAGGAAGCCCGGGCCAGTGATAACGAGTACCGGTGCCACTATCAACGAGTAGAAATATTAAAGGAACACATACGTGAAATGCTACGAGCTGTGGCAAGGAGGAGCCCAGATGCGGGGGAAT